TCAAGGCTCTGAATTGCAGTGCTGAAGAATGCTGACAGTACCATGGAATGCTAAGAGGACAAATCGTTGTGTATCGGAAGAAGTAAGGCCAGAGTTCTCCTTAGCAGAAGGGATCAAGACTCATCTTACTATGGAGAAGGACATCGTGTCTGGTGAAGTGGAAGGGTGGTGAAAAAGAGGAAGGTCCTAAATGGGGTCGGGGGTACAGGACCATGAGCTGTTTCATTCTGCTGTGCTTTGTGCATAAGGTTGCTATGGGTCGAGCTGACTCGATGACACTTAACAATTTGTAGTGGATACAAAATGTTTGTTTTTTCCTTACCTTCTCCCATTTTCCCAAGCATCAGAGAGGTTGACTAGTTTTGCATAAGTTTATTGGCTATTCAGAGCTTGTTTGCCAGTCTTTTTGCCCACGTATCTTTCAGTCAGTGAGAGCGATGGAGATAAACGAGACAAGGAAGTGTGTGTGTATGTGTGTGCATTCTGTGACTCTTGCCAATTATGAGTTGAAAATATTTTCTCCCTAATTGATTTGCCCATTTTACTATTTTTTCTTTCAAGTAGTTGGTTTGTATTTTTTGTTTGAACACACAAAACCTTTCTTGATCCCAATGCCATATATTCTTTTATCTGTTTCAGTTCTGCTTTCTACATTGCAGACTTTAATCTGTTTTGAGTTGATCTGTACACACGAGTTAGTGGTCTGAATTCTTCTGTATTAAAGGGTGGCAGGAATATTGGGGAGTTGGGGGGACATGTACCAACCACTGCAAGGTCCATCCATTTCCCATCGACCTGCAATGCCAGCTTCCAGGAATGCGTGTGCCGTGCAGGTGTTCACTTGGCCCCGGGGTCTCTGTTCCCTTTGGCTGTTTGAGTTTCCTCCTTAGGCCAACATGCGCTGATGGTGCAAGACTCAGATCTCAGCTGCTGAAAGGTTGGGAGCTTGAACACAACCCGGGATTCAGTGGGAGAAGGAACTGGTGATTTGTTCCCTTGGAGAGAAAATCTTAGGGTAGGTGGTTTTCTCACACGGGTGATGAGAGTTAAAATCCGCTCAACATCATTTAACAACATGCCAACCCTAACCGCAGAGGACTTACTGGTATGGCTTCTTACTCTCTGGTAAGGCTACTGCCTGTTCCCGACCTTGTTCTGTCGTGTTTTGGCCATTCTTGGCCTTCTGCTCTCCAGGGCTACAATAAATGCCATCTACCTAATGTTCCATCTAAGAGTTAAATGAATTTGCAATTAGGCAAGGAAGAGGGGGGAAAAAAAGTCTGTTAAGTAAACCTGAGAGAAAAAAGGTACTTACTGAATTTTACATGTAAGTCTCACAGAATTTAGATCTGAAATGAGGATTTAAGCTTTTAAGAGGTTTCCTTCTTTATCATGCAATCTCTTGAAACTGTATTAATACAAATGTGACCTCAAACCTGTTCAGTTGGTTGTGCTGTTTTTATCACAAATGTAATTAACATTCAACTTGGACCCCTTCCCTGAGCAGTGGTACAGATAATGCTGGCCCCACGAGACTATAATTAGATCTCAAAAAAGAATGGTCTCAAATTATTTTAAGTGCTTGTGATGTTTAGTAATATGCAGGCCACATGCACACAGAGCAAACAGGAGACTCAGCGAGGGATGTGTAATGTGCTATGAACAGTTTTCTAAGGGAATAGAGAATTTTAATGTACACATTCAGCCTGGGAAACTTCGTATTGTTTATTAAATAAGCAGAGAAACTGAGAGAGGAATTGGCACAGCGGGAAGTAAGGTCACAGGATGAGCCCTCTGGCTACCGTTTCCTGCTCTGGTGCACTCTTGAGAACCTCATTCCCCTGCCCAGATCATAGAGTTCCCATTTCCGGTGAGAAGCTTCCAGCACCTCCCCCATTCTTGAGCTGCCAAATCCTGATCAGTTCAGACAGATACAAGGTTTGCTTAAGAGCACATCACTGCTCTTTTAACAGGCTTCTTCCTGGCTACCACTGGGTTTGGAAGACTGGAACTCTATCTGAGTAAGTGACTAACTTATTGTACATCATCTACTAGGTCGTCACCAATCCTTAACACCCTTGCCTGTGCCTTTCTCCAGTAACTATACGTACTCATATGCCACTGCCACCAAGTCAATGCCAACTCATCATGACCCACCCATACGCAGGGTCTGTGGCTTTCAATCTTTAACAAGAACGGCGGGCTTCTGCCGTCCAGCACTGTGCAGCTACAAGGGGGGTTTGTTAGGATGACAAGACTTTCCGTTACCATCGAGCTATATGTTTAAGGTTCAGAGGACGGCCGTGCTGCTGTTTAGATGGTTGGCTCACAGCAACCCTGTGCGCAACCGAACTCAGCCTCGTCTGGTGCCATCCGCACGGGTGGTCTTGTGTTTGAACCCGTTGTTGCAGCCACCATGCCAACCCATCTTGTTAAGGGCCGTCCTCTTTCTTGCTGCCCCTCTACTTTACCGAGCATGTCCTTTCTCCAAAGATTGGCCTCGCCTGGAAACATGTCAAGGTATCTGAGAAGTCTGGTCATCCTTGTCCCTAAGGAACATTCTGGGGGTACTTCTAAGATTTGTTTGTTCTTCTGGCAGTCCATGGTATTTTCAGTATTCTTTGCCGGCACTATGATTCAAAAGCAATGATTATTTTTTGGTCTTCCTTATTCAATGTCCAACTTTCACATGCATAGGCCATTGAAAATACCGTGGCTTAGGTCAGGTGCACCTGGGTCCTCAAAGTAATGTCCTTAGTTTTCGATACTCTGAAGAGGTCTTGTGCAGATTTACCCAGTGTAACACATCACTGGATCCCGGCGGCTGCTTTCCACGAGCACCGACTGTGGATCCAAGCAAGACGAAATCCTAACAGCTTCTTCAACTCCATTACTCGTGAGGTTGCCCAGTTGTGAGGATTTTGATCTTTACATTGAGTTGTCATCCATATTGAGAGCTGCAATCTTTGATCTTCATCAGCAAGTGCTTCAAGGCCTCCTCACATTCAGCAAGCAAGCTTATCAGATTGTTAATAAGCCTTCCTCCAATCTTGATGCCACACTCTTCTTCATAAAGTCCACCTATTTGCACAGCATTCACACTGAACAAGTATGGTGAGAAGATACAACCCCGATGCACACCTTTTGGTTTTAAACCATGAGCACGCTGTTCTGTTTGCACAACTGCCTCCTGATCCATGTACAGGCTCCTCCTGAGCACAATTAGGTGTTCTGGAATTCTCACTCTTCTGAAGGCTATCCATAGTTTTTAATGTGCAGCACGGGGGCGCGCTCAGGACATTCACAAAGAGTCAGCAATACTGACTGACACAAGGGGATGGGGCTGAAAAAGCCATCCTCACTATTCTGAATTATCCAAGTAGTAAAGAGACTGTCGTTTTTTAAGCAAGTAGCCTAGACAGCAGCATCCCTTATGAAATGTATTTGTAGGGAGTAGAGCTATTGTGAAAGGCAATCCTTTTATGTATGCATTCCAGAGGCTCGGAAGGTTTACGTAAAAGCCTGGCATTTTACTGAGAAGCTACCATGTCCAATATAGATGCAGTACTTGGTACTTTATTTAATCCTGTGTATTTTTCAGGCAACGTAAGAGCCAGGAGGTGGGTCAAGGTGTCAGTCACCTACGTCGGCTAGAAAAATGAATGAGACCTGAGTTAAATGTGGGAGAAAACCTAAAGTACTTAGTAGGTGCAAGAATTACTGTATGAGAACAAAGGCTATGTCTGTCCACGTCTGGCTCGTACAAGAGGATCAGGAACTGCAGGCCTCTTTCCTTCCACTAAGTTCATGTGCTCTAGCGCCCTGACTTTTTAAGTTCAAGGTTCTGTTTAAAATAATTTGTACCAAGATTACTAATTAACTATATCGGGACTTCCAGTAGGTCCCTTGTTAAGGGAAACCGAGCTGCTAGCAGTCCTGGCTGGTGTCCCGTCTCCAGTGCCTGTATGTCCTCATGAAGCTGAGCGAGCGCAGGAACCGGAAGGAAGCGGGTCTTTTGAGAGCTCCATCCAGCCTTTTCATGACCCTTGCCCTGTTTCTCAAGGCAGGCACCAAATCTCTAGAGAGCTGGAATGCTCACTGCCAAGCTTTGAGAAGCATGTGCTTTAAAGACGATTGGTTAGGGACATGGAAACCACAGAAGCTGTCTGAGTGGCATGGCTGGTGAATCTGGCATTTGTGCTGTGGCTCCAAGGAGCCCTTGGAGCAAAGTGTAGCAGCGTTGTGCTGTGACAAGATCAACCTTGGAATCTTCGGGAAGGCGGCGGGCAAACCAGAGACAGAGAAACCAGCAAAGAAGTGATGCTTCACATTGTGTGGGACTAGAAAGGACCTGGGCTTGCCAATCTAAATGAATTATATTTTAAGTCTTTAACAAGTGACCATACTTGCTGGTGACCTGTACGTCAGATGAGAAAACAAAATACGCATACATGTTTTCAAAATGTTAATGGTAAAGAGCTGTTGAATTTTGGAATATGCAGTTTGTTAAGGATACAGCCATCAAATGCAGAGCAAGTACAAGCTGCAGAGATGATCAGAGCTCTGCGGGGCTGTTGCACAGGACGAAGCCCGGAATTCGGTGATGGCTAACAGTAGTGGTGAGAGACACTCAGTGTGTGAAGGAAAACAGCTTGACCTGGATAAATGCAACAATTAATGATAGAAGTCCAAGACTGAAATTCTGAGAATAACATTAACAGGAAACTTATAAATATGGAGACAGTGTTTTAAGGAAGAATGAACTTTGCTGTTCTGGGTCAACAAGATCTGTTCACCTGCCACATTTCTGTGTATAACTAATGCCTAATGTGTAAATAATACACTCATTTTAAAGTCTTCAGGAACATAAGGGCCTCAATTTTGTGGAAGGACTTTAGAGTCTCATCTTTGACACTTGGAAGTAAATATTCACAGCATTTCTAAAAGACAGACTTGAATTTCTGCAAAGGTAATGTAGAAACAAGTAAAAAAGAAGCAAGTAATAAATAAAAGGTTTTACTTTTATTTAAAATAAAATGCATTTTACATAGTCTTAAAACCAGGGATTATTGGACAATCCTGGGAATCCACTCTTCTCTGGCACCCCTTCGGGGCTATGTGAGCTAGGAACTTTCTGACTAGCACCAATGCAGATTGCAATAGCATAACAGACTAGCACACGGCTAGTCCAGGCATTAGAGTTAAAGACGTGGCAAATCATGACTATAATGAAGTCATTCTTAATTTAGCAGATATTAAAATTGCATATAATTACTACCAAATTGCTATTTATATCTTTATAAGCAATTAATGCTAAGATGCTATTTTCTAAGTAAGCCATTTGCTAGTTTTGAGTTAAAAAAAAAACTGTACAATTTTATAAAATTTGTGTTTGTACATTAGATACACAAAATGCATACTTCATAGACCTTTAACTTCATATTGTAATGCAAAAGTTGCATATTTTAGGCAGAGTGAATATGCTGGTGAATACTAAAGTATTGTAATACAATATGGTGTAAAAATAAAACACAAGACAGTATACTACATGCTTACTGAAGGACACAAACAAACCAAGCATAATAGACTAACAGCATTTTTCCTTCAAGGTCAGACAGTGGTGACATTATTAAATACCAGGCATCTCTTCCAGGCCTGATTTGGGGGCTGGGGGAGTATCAAGGTCTAGCTGAAGTAGGATATTTTAGAACCTAAGGTCAAATTAAACATACATTAAAACATATGCATTAAACATGATAGACTTTCTAATAGTTAAAGCCCTGGACAGCTTCCAAGTAGACGGCTTGAGTTTTAGTTTGCCCTCGACTTCAGCTGTCAAATTCATGGCCCTAAGGAATGGGTGCCACATTCAACAGTCCCTAAGCTGTAACATGGTTGCAGATTAATTGTCGTGCTCATTAGTGCACATATTAAACTGGTTTGGAAAGGCGAAATGTTTCCATGATAAAATGATAAATGTCAAGCTTACTTTATTAAGCAGCACATAACAGCTTTTACAGTTAAATATGGCCACGGAGTCTTGTTACACAGTATTTCCTATTCACACCCATCCACTGGTAAGTTTGTAGAACATTTCTTCATCTAAACTCTCATTCTGGTCCTTTGCACGTGTTGAAAGAAATATGTAGCCACCAATGAATTCATGAACCACTTTGCAATCTACTTCCGTACAAATGAAGGACAATCGTACTTCATCTGCAAACTCTACGGTGACCTGTGAGAAAGACAAGAACTATCAGGCCCAGTAACACTTTGAGATGGCTGGTCCCAGTGAAGCTACTGTCGTTTTACATCTGAGTGTCACTAAATATCTTGATAGACTACACAATTCTCTTTTTAAAAAATTGAAACTTAGTAATAAGGCCTCCAAGTCCAAAAGAAAGGAAAGTGTACGAAACCCCGTCCCCAAACCTCTCTCTCTAGGACTGAAGGCAAGGGCTTTAGGTCAGGAAGTTCCCAAGTGGTCTCTGGTGACTCTAGCACCGTCGTCCCCGAGTCCTTGGAGACAACCACTTCCTGTGTTGACAGCTTTAGATGGTTATCCTACAGGTGTCACGTTTGCATAGTCCAGAAATAAGAGCTTCTAGGAAGTGACAGAAATTGATACAAGAAACCTCAAATGACCCTAAAACCAATGAAGATTCATTAGTGAAAGATTCTATTTATTTGAAATGAAGTTCATGTAATCCAAGGCAAGGGGCAGCATGGTAGATCCTTTGTGCAAATCACTGTGTAAATTAAAATCCCAAGGCGGTGAACCTTTACCAAGTGTGTGGCTATGAATACAGACAGCCCTTGGACCTCTAAATTGTACTGTCTTCAACCGTAACGTAGGAATACATCTATCTTGAAAGGTTGTGGTGAGGTCGAGAAAGAGGTTATCTATCATGTGTAAAAGGCATCTGGTACCGTGTTCGGCACAGAGCAGGTGATGCACAAACAGCAGCTGCTCTTACCGCTGGAAGAGCTTGACAGCAGAGAAAGGTAACCGTAGAGAATGGTCAGGGACCATGCTAAGCAAATCAATACTGAGCTGGCTGTGAAATCAGTGAGGAAAGTAACTTAGTGGCTTTTTAACATTTACTAATGTTTAGTAAAAGGACTACTTATGCATTCAAGTAACATTTTAAGTAGCTTACCATTTTTATCTCCCAGTTGACATTCCATTGTTTCATGTTGCTGAACCGCCAAGTTTTAATTGCATCTCCTGTGCTGGCATCCATCCTTATCAGTCGGTTGTAAGCAATTCCAATAAGCTCTTCTTTTTTGCCCCCTTGAAACCTGCAACATTTAAAGACGTGCTTTTAATTCTAAAAAGTGCTATTCTGAGGAGTAAAAACAGCAATGTAACCAGAAATAGTTTTTTAAATGTAAAAAGTCTAAGTCCAGACATTCCCTTCTCCTTTAAAATTTCTACTGTAAAACGGGTTAATAGCTCTAATAACAAAGTAGATTCAGCAAAAATCCCGATCCAGGTTACATATAAGTGCTTTGCAAAACACTGACCTTGCAATGAAGTGCGTGATGCCAAATTCCGGAAGAGACTGCCAAGCTTGAATAAATCTCATCTTGGCTTCAATTAAACTCATTTGAGCTACATTCTGATGGGCTTCCAAGATTCTTGCTGTTATCTAAACATGATTAAATATCACCTTTACCATTAGACATTACTCTTTCATGGGAGAATCAAGATTAAGATTGAATAATGCACTCTATCATCTTCCGACTCGTCTTGCAAAAGTTAAAATAAGGAAAATACTAGATGGTTTTTAAAAATAAGCTTCCTGTTATTATTAAATTGCATTTTCCATATATATATATTTAATGCTATAATACATAATTGGGACTTATAAAACACTCAATGTGCACACCTACGTATGAGGAGACTACAAACAGTTCATAGAAAAATTGCATTTTTGGGGGAAAAATTGCATTTTTTAAACCCCTGCTTTCCATGAACTTCATGAAGCCCCCCTCACAATGTTACTATATAAAATAGTGTGTTCTAATCCTGTTATACATGATGAGTTTTTCAGGACAGATGGTCAAACGGACCTAGGACATATGTAGTTTTTATTAGCTACATGAAATCAACGCAAACCCAGTGGATTCCGACTCACAGCAGCCCTGTAGGACAGAGCAGACCGACTGCCCCACGAGGGTCCCACCACCGTCATCTTTACAGAAACACCCTGCTCTTTCTTTTTCCCAGGGGAGCAGCTGGTGGGCTTGAACGGCCTACATTCAGTTAGCATTAAAGTGCTTAACCACTGTGCTGCAGGGTTCACCGTAATAAGTAAAACCGTCTTCCTACAGGAATTTTGTCAGGTCACGTCTGCCTCACAGCAACCTAGTGTGACAGAGGTAGAACCTCAGGGGTTTTCTAGGTGGGATTTCTTCTGTGGAGCTTCTGGGTCGTTTGCACAGCCAGCCACTGTTAGCAGCCACATGCCGGATTGTTGCCCTGCTGAGGCTCATTGTACAAAGCAAGCCAGTATAGAACGGTTCTAAGCTGTGAATCTTCTCAGGGGCAGAAAGCGTCATCTTTCTCCTCAAGAGTGGGAAGTGGGGGGGAGACAGTGACTTTGGCTTTAAACATGGGGGGTGGGGGGGGCAGGGATGACAAGCAGGGAGAATACATGTAGAGAACTTACCAAATCTCTTATATAGCCTGGCTGTAGATGGCAATGCGAGGAAAGAAAAAGAAAGCAGAAAGAGAGAGAAAAAAAAAAGGAAATCAGAAAAAATGGCAATGAAGCAAAGAAATAGCTGTGGTCACCTGCAAACCAAAATTCCAGCCAAAAAACATGCAAAAAATGACTTTAGATGGAAACCAAGCAGAGTAAACACAGCAGGGAAATGAAGCAGCAGCAACCACTTTCCATATGGAATTCTGAGAAACGCAACCCATGATTTCAGAATGTTAAGGGTTACTTGTAGGCAGAAAATGCAGAAAGCCTAACCTTCATTCCCCTTAAATACCAGTTTTTACCAGTAAAATTAGGGTAAGGCTAATTAATTTTAGTGTAGCAAAACCAAAATTAATATTCAAAAGCCACGAATGTCTTCTTGGATGTAGTGATAGAATATGGTCCATGCACACGGTCTTTCAGTAATAAGCAGGAGTAAAGGCAAAAGTGCAACCACCATACTACTGACACAGAACAATCAACTCCTCAATTACCATATGCTTTTTACATCCTTTTTCCTGAAAGGAAAACAGAGAGATGCCCGACACGGCACTTGAACGATACTCGTTCATCAAAGATTAAGAATGAAAAACTTTTCATGCACAGTGAGACAGGGCAGTTTTGCCCTATCCCCCCAAACCGTGGGAACTTCGAATGTCTGATTCCCTTGGGTGACTGGAAGTACCTTTCCAGGACTTCCTTCCTGGTCCCTTTCATCGGGATGCACTGCTGACACCCGCTGCAGCAGCACAGCACCACGCAAACCTCCACTGAGAGGATGATGACTGGCTGGGGACGGGGCGGGGTGTGTGCGTGTGGTGGTGGCACACACCCCATCGTGGGGGTGAGAAGATCTATCAGCACTTATAGTCCCCTGAGGGTGCTGGCCATGTGTGATTGCCCTTCACCTAATAAGTCTAGTAGGGGAAAGAGCGATTAAAAGAAGGTGTCATTTGTAAGACGCCAGTGTGGAAGGCCAGGCTAGCAAGAGCCTGAAGCACAGGCAGGCCTGCCGTCAGGGAGGAGGAATGTACACTGCCAGTCGAGCCTAGAACACGGCGAGAAACGAGCCTTTCAAGGGGTTCCCGTGGACGCTGCCTGTCCTTGCCAGGGAAGCCGACACTCTGTTGTCAGCCTCTTTCCCGTGACATTTGACAGGAAATGATTACATTGTTGACCAACACGTAGTCTTGAAGGCAAATGAATTCACTTTACATGGGACTTTTTAGGCGTAGTGAAAAACGACGAAAAAAATAAAATTAGGACATGGTTCATTTTCCCTTTTTAACTTACACTATACATTCCACAAACCTCCCTAGGGCAGCACTTCCTCCATTCCGAACGACTCCCACATCCCATGACTGTGGGGTAAACAACTCTAAAACTTAGACAACTACGTGTGACTAAAAGTCATGAAAATGCCAACTATGTGAATTCTGACTCATATACATGAATGAATTTAAAATATATCAAGGGATAGTGTTCAGGGTGTTTCACTCGGCTTCAGTATATTTGCAAATTACTGCAAGTTAAAAACAAACTAGATTAGAAAAATACTTAATGTAAATGCCTCTGGGTTTTTTTACCCTCCCCCACCGTCCTCTTCCCCCCTTTTATGGCATGTTGTTTGCTGTGGAGCATACCGAAGGCTAACACAAGTGAAACATTTTCCTTGTAAAGCGCCTTTCCTACTGCTGAAGAACCATTTTCCTAAATAGCAATCCTTTTATGGTTGTGATTTCCAGGAAAGGAATTCTAAGCAGAGGGGACAAAACAGTGAGTTTCAATGAGACAATTTACCAAACTTTGTCACTTTATACATATCCTGGTTGGGTCCTGACTGTTGATAACAAGATGCATTAAGTATATCTCTCCTGTAAAGTTTATTTACAAAACGTTTATTTAGACAGCCTGAATAAACATTATACATTTGTTGGAAAATAGAGTATGTTTTTATATAATTTTTACTGAATCCAATGGATTTTTTAATGTAGTTAACACATCAATCAGACAATACTCAATCAATCCCCTGAATTGTCTGATTTCGTCAGGTTGGTTAGAATGTTTCCAGCTATTAGAATTATCTACCCTACTAGAAAGATAGAGATGATCTTCTTAAAATGACCAACTTACACTGACTTTTTAAAAGCTATTTCCTATTTTATATTCTAACCATCTGCTTTTGAAGTCAGACTTCAATCAGGTTATCAATTATACAACAAAACACCAGCCAAGAAAAGTTGGATGAAGTAAAATAGAGTACCTGCTTGTTCTTGTATTTCTTTAGATAGCGAGGAGACACAAGGCATTCTGGGTTTATATCAGTTGTGATCTGCTCTGGTATTAACTGCGGGTCTGGGTTTAAATGCTGCATCTTCAGGAAGGAAAGGATGTTTTGAACTTCCAAGTTGTAAGAGCTGTCCGCCATGGTCTTGCCTTTGGAAGCTAGCCTGCAAGCTGCCATCCAGTGCGCGTACTGCTGCTCCTATTGGAAAGAAGCACGGTGCGCAAACATGGAGCACATGCTGGCTCCTTTGAACATGAATGGAACAATGACCGGTCAGTTTACCTAATGGGGTTTTGACCGGAAAACTTACATTGTCACAGCGAAGCCAGATTTCATTCATGCCCTCTGCAACTGGAATCAGGAGTTTGATGTTAAATTTTTGGCCTGAAATGTTTACATCTGGGGTCACTTCACATCCTGTAAGAATAAAAAAAACCCTTTAATTATTAAAATGACACAGTTTACGTTAAAGAGACATCAGCAGACAGTTTTTATGGCATCCTAACATGTTGACTTTGCTGTGCAATCTATAGACCGAGGCATACTCTCCATGCTCCTTAATTATTAGTTGAGGCGAATGTTTGTTGAGTGAAATACCCTTTTGACCATAATCCATAAGCCTGAGGCTTTTGAGGTCCCTGCCCTGCCACACCGCCGCACCCGCCATGTTCTCCTTTCCCTGCCCCACACAGCAGAGAGCATCTCCACGTGTCTTTAGAATCAGTTGTCTTTGCATTACTGTCCACGTAGCAAAACCTTAACCTCAGCTTGCAATCTAAGCATCCATCTTTCTTACTCACAGACATTCTTTAAAAATCAATTGATTGGGGCTTATACAGCTCTTAGCACAATCCAGACATCCATCTATCGTGTCGAGTACATTTGTACATATGTTGCCATCGCTGTCCGTTTTCTTTCTACTTGAGCCCCCGTTTTCACTTCATTTCCCCCTCTCCACCCTCAATTATTTTTTCATGTCTGAGACTGACTGATGTCTCCCTTCACCTACTTTTCTGTTGTCCGTCCCCCTGGTTGGGGGTTATATGTAGATCATTGTGATCAGTTCCCCCCCCCCCCCCCACTTCCTTCCCCTTACCATTCTGTTATCGCTACTCTCATTGTTGGTCCTGAGGGGTTTATCTGTCCTGGATCCCCTGTGTTTCCAGCTCTTATCTGTACCAGTGTACATGCTCTGGTCTAGCCAGATTTATAAGGTAAAACTGGGTTCATGATAATGGGCATTAAAGACTAAAGTTGTCCGTTTCATCGTGCTATACTACATCCTGACTGGCTCGTCTCTTAATTGTGATCCTTCTGTAAGAGGTTGTTCAATTGTCTACTGATGGGCTTTGGGGCTCCACTTTGCACTCCCCCTCATTTACACTGATAGGATTTTTTGTTCTTAGTCTTTGATGCCTGATATCTGATTCCATCAACACCTCATGATCACACGGGCTGCTGTGCTTCCTCCATGTGGGATTTGCTGCTTCTCTGCTAAGTGGCCACTTGTTTATTTTCAAGCCTTTAAGACCCCAGATGCTATATCTTTCAAAAGCCAGGCACCATTAGCTTTCTTCACCACATTGCTTATGCACCTAATTTGTCTTCAATGATCGTGTTCGGAAGGTGAGCATCGCAGAATGCCGGGTTATTAGAACACAGTGTTCTTGCGTTGAGGGAGGGCTTGAGTAGCATAAACATTCTCTGGAATGTCTATTTCAAACCATCTCAAGACTCACTCTCGGGACCTCTCCTCTCACATCCCACAGCGTCCTGCCTCCAGTTAAAACCAAGCTGCCTTTCTTTCCACAGCGGAGCAGCATCTCTCTTCCTAAGGTTAGCATCCTGCCCCAGCAGTCTGAGTCTAGCCACCTACTCGGGAATCATGCTCCGCTGCAGTGATCCTCTCTACAGCCCTCATTCTCCTTTCTTGGTGGTTCATCACTAGGCTGTCTTGTTTCTGACATACATCTCAATGACTACACTCGGCTTCCGCACTCAAATCTCCATTGGTCTTTAAAAGGAAAAGGGGCTTCATAAGAATTGATGAGATGGGAAAAAATATTTTCAAATTGTTATCTGATAAAAGTTTAACTCCCAAAGTATACAAAAATAAACTCCATATTAAAAAATGGGCAAAGGGTGCTCGCAGTGCAGCTGCAGTGGGCGGAGTGGGCCGGGATGAGTGGCGGGGGAATGGAGGGATACCCCGTGGATTGAGAGGCCACACTGAGTGGCAGTGTCAAGAAGAGGGATTTGTTGGGGATCACAGGCTCGCCAGAGCACCTCATTATCAAGGATCTCGGCGAAATTAATTCAAGACTCTTAGATCACAGACCAGTTACCCAAGGTGTGAAACCTATTATTCTGTGAAAGAATTTGAAATTCATAATAAGCATATACCAGCCAGTGAAAAGCAGTGTGGAGCCTAATGGAAGGATTTCCTGAGAGAACAATGTAAGAAAAAGGCAGACATGGGTGAAGAACACAGAAAAGTGATTGGGGGGGACTTAAAGACCAATATGCTGAGATGGAGAAGGACCTAGCCAAATTTTCCCCCTTTTAAAAACTTGACCCTCTGCCATAAAAAGCTACTGAGAAAATATTGACTCTGTCCTTCCCCTCACTGCAAAATGATTCCCACCAAACCATTTAGCCTCTGTTCAAGCTTAGCAACATACAGTCAAAGGCACTTGGCACTCTTACCAGAGCTTCAGGAATTCTGCTGAAATGTTTTATAGAAAAGGGCTATATCTTTTTAGTTTCAAGTGCCTACATGATTACCTAAGCAGCAATAAGAGGAAAAACGAAAAATTTATTCTGTTAATCAGAATTGGTCTTTTCTTCCATTGATTAGGCCAGAGAATTTTAAGTATAGATGTCTTATGAAAATAATTAAATTTTAAACAGAATCAATGTAAGTTTAACATAGTGGCTTAAAAGAGGTCTGCCATAGCTCCCCAGGGCATAGGCGAACAGTGTAAGGGCTAGTCGATGAGTAACATGGATGAAAACGCCTGTGGTTGGAGCAGCTCATGTGTAAGGGCAGTGAGAATCATAGCACGACGGCTGGGCAGCCCTGCTGGTCTCTGAGGTGACTGCTGGAAAGTCTGACATACGAGGCAGGGAAGCACCTTGTCACTGGTCTCACTGAAGGACAAAAAGACATCTGCTAAGATTTGTGGCCTTTCAGCACTTAAATATGCTTAGTAGGAGTAGGAAAAGCTTACCAGAAGTACATTTTGACTTTTGAACTTTCCAAGCACCATAATTTTGCCCATGGTATTTACCTATGTTTGTGCCTGTTTTGCTTTGGGTAAGCTTTGTAAGTTAAATAATGTCTGTCTCTTCGATTGTTTAATGAATAATCATTCAACAAGGCAAGATCTGCCAAGGGCCCCTCTGGAACCATGGGAGGACTGGGCTCTGAGTAAGCCAGGCGTGTTTGCCCGCCTGGTCCGTGTTAAAAGTGAGTCCTTTTAGCGCTCGTGCCTGTCCTCATAAGCTGGCTTTATGACAACATGAGCGAACCACTTCTGTCACCACTGTGATCTTTAAAATATATATGTAGCAATTTAATTAACTGTCCGGAGTAACTTCAATTATTTATGGCAAATGAATTCAATGCATAGATACGTAAGTATTCCATTTTCTTTTATCTCAGTGTTGCCGCTGCAGAAAATTGACAACGCTCGTCTTTACAAATATATGACTTACTGTCAAAAGTTTCATGAGTAAAGTTAACAGAGATGGAAAAATAAGGGAAAAGGGTTTGAATAAACATTTTACCAAAGTAGATACACAAATGAGCAATAAGCACATGAAAGACAGATGCTCAATACCATTATTCATTGAAACAACAACAAATCACTTCTGTCGCATTGACTCCAATTCATGACAACCCCTTGTATGTCAGAGGGCTGTTCTCCCAATGGGAGGCCCCACCCCCATCCCAGTTCGTTATGGTGAACATCTGTTATGATGAAAACGTATAAAACATTTGCCAAGTCAGTAATTTTTCAGCGAAGAATTCAGAGATGCTAATTACATTCTTCATGTTTTGCAACCATTAATGTTACCTACTGAAAATCATCCTAGCACAATTAGCAAACTTGGTGGCCCCTAACAAAAATTCCTCCTGTCCTCGGCCTCCCCTCTGAGTCCTTTGTCATTGTCGTCAGCTCCTGCTGAGTGGTTCTGACTCAGAGCGACCTCTATGTCTATGACAGAAGGAAACAATACCCAGTTCTGTGCCACTTACTTCTTCTTGGGCGTCTTCCCCCTTTACCGCCTGTCCACTTTCCGAAGCATGATGTCTGTTTCCAAGGACTAGCCTCTCCGCATGACATGTTCAGAGTACACAAGGCAAAGTCTCACTAGCACTGCCTCTAAAAAGCATGCGGCTGTCCGTCCTCTTCCAAGACAGGTCCGTTCTTTTGGCAGTCTAAGCACTTTCAACGTTCTTAGCCAGCACCGCCCACAATGCAAATGCATCAACTCTGCCCGGGGCGTCCAGATTCCAGCTTTCACATGCTTATGAGGTGAATGCAAGCACCAAGGCCAGTGTCGGGCAGACTGTAGAAGAAATCTAATGCAGCAGGTTTATCCAATGTAGTATGTCAGTTGATGACTGCTGCTTCAGTGGGTACTGACTGTGGACCTAAGCAAGATGAAAAACTTGACAACTTTGGTCTTTTCTTATTTTATCATGATGTTATTTGTTGGCTTAGTTGTGCGGACTTGTTTTCTTTACGTTAGGCTGCATCGATATTGACTGCTTTAGTCCTTAATCTTCATCAATAAGTGTTTCAAGTCCCTGCTAGGAGCAGGCAAGGTTATTTCCTCTACATATCAAAGGTTAACAAGCCTTCCTCCAATCCTGATGGTGAAAGGGTATCTATCACCTTAGGACACACTCTATAGAAAGCCAGTGCGCCCTTTTCTTTAAAGAGCGCCCCTGTGGTCCTTATACAGGTTCTGCAGGACTACAATGAAAGGTTAGGATTTGCTTATTGTTGGGTTAATTTGTTTTGTATGATTTTATTTATATGAAATCCAGGATAGGTAAATCTGTAGACAAAGTAACTAGAGCAATATAATCTTAGGGATATGGCAGGCAGAAGATGTTGGGGAGGAAACGTAGAACTAATGAGACAAGAATGTGGTGACTGTCCAACTCTTCAATGTATTTAGAGTATTAGCATGCTGAATGAGGTATGTGAATGTTATGTCAATAAAAATAAAGACCCGCGTACGAGAAGGAAGCAGACAAGAACGAAAAGAGCAAAGACTCTGAAGCTTGCTCTTGAAGGCAAATGAAGTCAAAGAACGGGCAGAATTTTAAAGAGCAGCTAAAGTATTGTAGTCGTGAAGTTCTGGAGGTTTGCAGCCGCTTCATCTTTGTTGTCTTATTAGCTAACGAAGGTCCTAATGGCTTTCTTCCATCCATGTCACGATGGTTGACTGTATTGAGGGGCAGTTCTTTCCCTGCCTGAGAGCTCACCTTCCAGCACTGTGACATGGCACTGCTGCTGTTCATCAGGGTTCACCGACCGACCCTTCAGGAGTGGTCCGCAGCCTACATCTGTCCGCCACAGATGCCCCTCTGGTATGTGTAATACTGGTGACAACAGAGTTTCTGCCAGGATCACAGCAGCGCCACCTTAAAACAGACTGACAGCCAGCCCAGTGGTGGTCCCTCTCCTGGTAACCACTTTGGTTAATGCGTTTCCCAGCAAGGGTTTGTCACTGTGGTCTTTATGGAAGCAGGTCAGCGCGCCCTTCTTCCCTCGTGATGCTGAGTGAGTTCAAACCAACTGTTAGGTTAGCAGAAGCGTGTGCACTACTTGCACTGTGTTCAAGGAACAGAAAGGAATTAGAATAAGCTTATCAGCCATGGGTTTCCTATATATTGGCTTGTTTGATATAAGTGAGATAATAATACATCAGTATGAAGCCCCTTTCCACTTGTCCTTTTGAGTCGGACTTTGCTCAACACTATGTTCAATTTCACCCACATGGGGACATGTATCACTTTATGGTGAGTCCTTCCTGCCCCCAAGTCTATCTCCACATTTGTCTTTTGTCTATCCATTCATCAGGCGATGGACTTTTGAAAAGTTTGAAAAGTGTTGTAATGAACACTGATACGGCTCTAAAAGTTCATAGAAAGCTGTGTTATCTCTGAATGCTATTTCCCCACAAACTTTCTGAAGAGCCGTCATTCACGTTCTGTAGGGATTAAATGGCTGATTTTTAGGAAGTAGTTTGCCAAGCTTTGCTGCTGCAGTATCTGTGGGGGGACTTGAAGCACCAATCTTCCAGTAAGTAGCTGTGCACATTCACTATCTGCATGACCCCGAGACTGCAGACCAGTTCACACCCGACATCTCAGAGCAGGGGCGCCCTTCCTAGCCTTCCCTCAGTGGCTAATTTTTAAGAAGGGAGGACCAGTTCAAGGTGCTGTAGGTAGGCCTCACTAACCAACTCTTTAGTGAGTAACTGAGTGTGTTTACTCCAGAGGGCAGAGCAGACGTCTCCCCCGGTTTACCTAGGCTCTCCTCTTCACCAGAGCACTGGTGGTAGCACAGCTACATGCTCAGCTGCTCGCAGAAAGACAAACCCCAATGGGACAGCATTCTACCCCACCCTAGAGTCGCTCTGAGCGAGATTCGACTTGATGGCACACAACAACTCTGATGGCCAATCCTTTCTCCCACAGGGTGTAAGTCCTGAGCTTTCAGGCTGCCAAGCACTAACCACTGCACCACCAGTGCGGCTTCCATTAGTCACGATCAAAAACCCCAATCAAGCCTGTCCTCTCTAGGGCTGGAAGCCTTTCCAGAAGCAGGCACTCCCTGTTCGTGTGAGTGGCTGGTGGATCGGCTCACTGAGCAGCCTCGGGTTTAACTCACTGCGTCAAGAGGGCTCCTTCAAATCAAAACCACAATGACACCATGCCATGCCCCCTGCTATTATCAGAAACATGGTAAAGCACAACAAAAACAAATGTTGGTGAGGCCATGTAGAAACGGGAAGTTTTCATCCATTGCTGGTGAGGCACACCATGTTGCAGGCACTGTGGAAAATAGTATGGCAGTTCTGCAAAAAAAGTTAAGCATAGAACGAGTGCTTTGAACCGGTCTGTCTCTTACTGAAACTTTGCATTTCCATTCCAGATACACGGAATCAACACTTTCATTTTAACAGGAACTTGTTAAAATGTAGAGTCAGATTGTGTCTAGCATTTCCATTCCTACGTAGAGACCAAAAATAAATGAGAGCCAGACCAGGAGAGAGACCCGTGTACCGATGTTCACGGTGACGTTATAGTCACAACCGTCAAAAGGTGGGCAGGAGACACACAAGGAAATGCTCTGTGCATACAAGAGAACAGTCAGCCTTGAAGGGAGTTCTGATACTTGCTTTGACATGTGGGGGGCCCTGAAGTCAAGTCAGACACAAAGGATAAATGTTAGATAATCCTATTTAATATGTAAATGTCTACAATGGGCAAATGCACAGACAAAAATTTGTTAGTGGTTACCAAGGATCAGAGAATTTTATACTTAAAATGGCAATTTTGTCTGTTACACACCACTAGACTTCCGTGAGTTCCCCTTACCTCTTAGGTTCATTTGATGAGCTGGTGTGCTACCGGATTCTTCCTTGCTCTTATAACAAGAAATAGAAGTGTCTTTAAAAGTACACCAGTACTGCTTGTAACCTTTCAGGGTCAGCTTTTTGGGCCTGTGTCGAACAGAATGAAGAGGTTTTAGTACCACAAAAGATAAGTATTGATCAGTACGCCTTAAAAAGCCCAAGGCCAAGGTTTGCAGGGGCTGTATTCAGTTCTCCTTGGCCAATGCCTGATATTCAACATTGCACATATGTGATCTGCCGGGGCCTAGGGGCACTGTAGTTTAGCTGGCTGCGAACCCTAAGGCTGGTGGTTCAAACCCAGCAACTGTTTTGTAGGGAGAAAGATGAGACTGTCTGCGCCCACTAACATTTACCATTTGAAACCCTGTACTGAGTGGCTATGAGTCGTAAGTGGCTTCATGGTCACCCAGTAAGCAGACCGAGTGTCAAAGAACAACATTCTAGTAGTGTGCACACCTCTACTCACAGGAGTATATTCCAAGTTCCTTAGTGGATTTTATTGTGTGACACACATGTCCTGTCATGAAACAGAGTAACGTGAAATTTAAAACTTACAAACTGTTTACTTCTGGAATTTTCTACATAATACTTTCAACTAATAGGAATCAGACCAGGGGGTCATCTGTCCTTACCTGGAGACTTGTGGGTGTGCTGTGTACATGGCAAGATTGCAAGTGGGAGGGGCACCTATTGCCCTGACCACACACACAGTGTTTATGTGTGTATCATAGTGTTTGTAGGAAAGTGTAATTAAATAGGATTTTCCCACAAACATTTTGAAGCCCTGGTTTCAAAGGTATTTCAATAGTGACATTAACTTGCCACTTTAAGGTCTAATGCAAAAGAAAGTAGCGAGTCATCAGGAAAGGTGCAGGCAGATAAGGGAGAAGGAAGAGGGGTAGATGAACAGCATCTGAAACCTCCGATGTCAGCAATATTACCTGTTTTAATTTCTGTGTATTTGGCTACAGTGAATGATGGTTCAACAAGGGCTTTTCAGCCTTACCCACTAGCAAGGGTTGGCTCCATCACCTCGTTTCCTCTGCTTCCTCTCTGCCTGATGCCCAGCTCTCCTGACTCTATGGGTGGATGGCTTGTTGAAAAGTCTAAATTAGATACATTTTGGAACCCAACTTTAATGGCTCATGAAGAAAGTTAGATCTGGGGTTCTGAACAAGGCCCCTGGAAGCAACAATGTATTACTTAGTGCTGTCACTTTAAGGGCTCAGCGAGGAATCTTAAATGCTGCTGTATTTCTAGATTTTCAGCATCTCTATGATAAATCTTTTCTTAAAAATATCAGATAGAACAACCTAATTAGTAATGTGATTATAACCTGGTAAAGGGAGATTATTTTCAAATTAATTTTAGTATTTATCTAATTAATTAAGTAATCTTTTCTAGATAAACTACATTCCATTAAAGGGATCAAGACTATATAATGCTTATTACTCATTAACACTTGGACTCTCTTCTACACTTACTTGAAAACTTTAATGTAGTCAGCAAGTTCAGGAATGGAAGTGATGTCACCCTAGAAAGAGTGTTAAATTAAAAATTCAGTATCTCTAATGTTTTGTAACCGATATTCAGAACTAGTTTATTTATTGAATAGGATTACAGAAAATACAAATTACAGAAATATGGTCTTCAAAAAACTACTAAGAATTTGATAAATCTGGCGTGGCCAATGTTTCACAACAAAGCGATTTCTCCCTTTCACTACCCACCTCAAGCCAAAGTAGCACCTTATGCAACCTACAAGACGGTGGTGTTACTTCTAATATAGTCAACCCTGTGGCTAGTTGCAAACGACACCTTTGAGAGCTCATAGCCAGCTGTGGAGGTCCTGTGGGCTAGTCACTGGGCTGCTGAGGCCAGTGAGTCCAACCCACCCGCCACTCCTCGCGAGAAGGATGAGACTGTAAAGATTTACAGCCCTGGAAACTCTTGAGCAGTTTTAATCTGTCGTATAGGGTTGCTTAATTCAGCCTATCAGACAGCAAAGGATCAGGGTCTGGCTTTGAATCTCCCTGAACTTAGGTGTTTCATTAGCAGTAACATATCCCTAAGCTTTAAAAGCAAATCTAGCATTTATGCACACCCCTAAATTCATTTAGGGTTTCCACAATGGCTTGAGGTTAAATTTTCCCAGGCAGACATACTCTCCTACAACCTGTTCTGTGTAGGGTGTCAAAACAAGGATCTTTACGCAAAGTTCCTGGATAAACAATGTCTGATAGCTTCAATAAAGCATTAACAATTTCTCCCCACCCTCTCTAGGAGACCTAATTTACACAGGGACATGCACTGAATCTAAATTACTCAAACAATCTTTAGACACGACCAACCCAATTAGGCAAGAAGATTACCCTACCAGAATTGTTGATGTTTTCCCCCCTTCCAAAGTGATCTCCAGGTCGGAAAGGGCGGCGTCAACTTCATCAACTTCTTTGTCACTGTGGTTCAAGTGGTTCTCTGACGTCATGGCCGACAGCTTATTGATATGATACTGAAACCAGAAATGCCACTTTATTACAAAGCTCTAACTGAAGGCTTTTCACTACCTAATCTGAAAAGACACTAAGTACCTATGAACTACAATAGGAAAATCAGGTGTTCAGCACTTAAATCAGGCTAATACTACCCACCCATAGTACCTACGGTCTTTGGACATTATTAGTCTGAGAAGCCTTAGAATTGGAGTAGACTGACACTTTCCCATGAACAGTGATTTTAGACTGTTTTGTCTGTCTCCCTCACCCCCGCCTCCATTACAACATATTCCCTGTACCTAAAACAGGACCTACTATCAGTGAATACTGAATGGCAACTAGAATGTGCAGAAGGTCTTTGTAGAAATTGTCAGCTTTGATCATCTTACATAACTACTCAAAGTTATTACGATTACGTCGAAAGGTGAAATTGCACTTCCTCTCAGCCTCAGTTCAAGCTGAAACAAGGCTAGAAGGAGACCGTTACACTTCAGTAAGAATGGATAAAGATGGTGTTTTATGTGTGAACACACACAGTACAGGCTTCCAAGTTTGTGGAGAAACAGAATCAAAAGATAAGGTGATTTGATTTCCCCATTGAAACACACAGATAAAATTTTTGAGTAGAGCCCTTGGATGTTGCCAACAGTTAATGCATCTGACTGCCAACTGAAAGGTCGGTTTTATTTTAAAGCATTTAGATCTAAGCCCACACAGATTCATTTTGGCAGAAAAGCCCCGTACCCTACTTCCAAATATTCAGCCACTGAAAATTGTGGAGAACAGGTCTACACGACTCAGCACACTTAGGTACCTTTCAATGCACTAAGTAACACACAAAATACAATTTCATCATGGAAGCCACATAATTATCAAGCTTCTCCATGTTAAGATTGACTGAATTTAGAAGCAATCGTTGGCTGTACTTTAGCCGAGACAAAATAAAATTCTCAGCGATAAGAACATCCATATTCACAGTCATGGAGAATGGGGTGGGCAGTGGCCCCAAGCTTCAGAGAACAATGTATTAAGAATCATATGAGTGGGTTAAAAATCAGATACCGAGATTTACCTCTAGTATTTGATTTAGTAAATCCAGGGTGCACACAACAGCCTGTCTTTATTAAGCGATTCTTAGTCCCTTAAGTGATTCTGATGCAAAAGACGCTGAGTGCATATCTTGGACCTAAATGTTTTTAAAACATGACTAAAATATCCACTTTTTAATTTATAGCCTTTTCACTTTGAACTATTTTTCTTCTCATCGTTATTTTACCAAGATTTGTTTTATAGGAAGACCCAGAAGCTTCAAGGGAAGATAGTTTTGACCAGATTACTTATGTCTCACATAGAAAATACTAGGAGTTTCCCATCTTACTTTCAAACAGTTTGCTGGTACTGGAAGGCTCACTACAGACTGCAGGTCAGTCTCAGGGACACCATATACCTCAGGGAATTTGTCATCTTAAAGTCCTCCCATTGGTGTCCTTAAATTAACTGAGGTGTGTCTACTGCACTAAAATGAAATGCCCACTGGTAGGGGGGTTGCTACAGATATTTCAGTGAAAACGCGATGATGTATAACTCCAATGTATTATTTTTGAGCACCTACTATTTGCCAGACATTGTTGGCTTAAAAAATTTAAAAAAATATGATAAAAGCTATGGTCTTTAAGGTATGTATTTTACATGTAACATTTTCCCGATATGGGCCAGTATTTGTGCTAGGTAGGGAAGAAAGAGCCTAACAGTCTTAAACCACAAGATAGAGGGCAGTGGCTCCAAAAATGGGCACAAACAGGGAGAGAATTGTGAGAGAACAGACAGTATTTCCTTCTGTTGTGTACAGGGCTGCTACTGTGTTGGGACCACTGTAACAGCCCAACAACCCTCTCTCGACTCGCTGCCAAGGGCTCTGAGTAGTGGAAGTCATGCTGAAAGGAAAGAGGGGACGCGAGGGTTTTGCTACAACTATGTGGGACACATCTCAATGAGTCTGGTGGCAGATTGGTGGAATCTTTAGACTCATACAATTATACAGGAGGTAGGGTAGGGCTCCACATCAAAGACTGCAGCGCTCCCCAAAACACCAGGCTGTAAATGTTGGTGGGCAATATATATATTCCACCGGTCGGAGAAAAATTAAATAATTGAATATCCCACTCCCTTTTTAACCCAGTCTCTAGAAAAATGAGAGATCAAACAAATGCATCTGTCCACAAAGATTTCCTTTCCTGTGCTGCCTCTTGCTCACCATCTAAGGAGAAGCCAGCCAGCTGTTCTCACGCTCTCTAAGAGACTTTCGGCAGTTGAAACTTACTGGCTGCTCTGCCAGGTCAGCTTCCTTTAAGATTTCAAACTCACTGCCATTGAGTTAATTTCAACTGTTAAATGACCCTATAAGATAGTGGTTCTCTACCTTCCTAATGCCATGACCCTTTAATACAGTTCCTCCTGCTGTGGTGGTCCCCCAACCATAACATTATTTTCGTTGCTACTTCATCACTGTTATGAATCGGCGAGCCCTGTGAAAGCGTCGTTCGACTCCCAAAGGGTTGAGAACCGCTGCTCTAGGACAACATCCAGCTGTCCCTGTAGGTTTCTGAGACTGTGCGGCAGGTGAAAGTCTTGTCGTTCTCCAGCAGAGTGGCTGCTGGTTTCTGAACTGCTGACTGGCTGGGTCACTACTAGGAAATCTACGGAGCAGTTCTCCGTCCTTTAGGGTCAATTTGATTTGGAATCAACTCGACAGTAGTGGGTGAGTAGTGATAAGTATACACAGTCCAAATTTAAGAAGCACTGCCGTCATTCTGAAGTGGGGGGTGGATAAGGATCACAGTTGGGAAAACAACAGTTTAAGCTAAGGGAAAACAGTAACAGCTCTAAGTATCTCCTCAACCCACCTTTGTCCATATAGAAATACTGTATCAAAAACTACTGAGATTACCATTTAAAAATATAGTCCCGTACCATCCCTATGCCCCCAAATCACATTTGCCAATGTTCTCACCTACCTGCAAAGCTGCAAACATCATCATTTCTTCTTCCGTGCATTCAATCTCTTCTAGGAGAATAGCCCATTTACCTTGCTCATAAAGCTGATTGATTCTGATTGCATCATACTGCAGGGGGAGGGGAGGGGAGAGAGAGAGAGAGTTTTATTACAGTATCATTAGCATTAAAAATTCTGAATTACCAAGGAGCTGACACCAAGGGCTCAAGTAGAAAACAAATGTTTTCAGAATGATGGAAACAAACGTGCTCGACACAATGGATGTGTGATAAGAGTTGAATGAGCCCCCAATAAAATGATTTAAAAAAATTAAAAAACAAAACAAAACAAATTTTGAATTACTTATAAAGTTTGACCAGAAAAAAAACAGTAAAAATCAATCCCAAGGAAAAATTTAAATACCATCAATACTCATAAGAGTTCGCTAAGATTTTCTCAACTATTACCCGCATCGTAGTTTTTTTTAATTCAAAGTGAGATTAAGATTGGTCTCTACTCACATGGATCAAGAGAGGAAGAAAATATGTGGCTTATTACTCCCACGAACAAGTTAACCCCTTCATCTGACACAAGACCAGAAGAGCTGAAGAGTGAGTGGCTGGCTACCACAACAGAGCCTTGTGATCACAGGTTCTATTCCGGGAGGAAATGGAGGATTTCATATTCTAATAGATGCGGTTTTATGGAACCACGGTTGAACCCTGCACGACTAAACTTCAGACCAAAGTACCTCCTGAAGTCATCTTAAAACCGACACAAATGTAGCTTAACTAAGCCTGTATTGAGTGGTTTTTGTTTTTACAGAACTACATGAGATCAAATTGACCAGTATGAGCTCTGAAGAGGACGGTGAGGTGGCTGTACAACACACAGAAAATACACCGTTCAATTGCGTTTGCTGTGTATATCCTCAACAAAGAAGTTTCCAGGGGGCATAATCTTTATATTTTAAACCCTTTAACATAAAACCCCTTGATATTAATAAGGGAAGAACTTTTATTTTTCCACAATATCATTATTTCAAGCATCACCATAAAATGATGTAAAACAGAAGGTGAAACAATTATGTCAGGTAGCATGCTCACAGTGGAGAAGCATATTCAAAGTGGCAGATCTTGGAAGTAGCAGTTATTTTAAACATCCAAAATAAAATGGACATTTATTCTCTATGGAAAATAATTATTAGCAGATAACAGTAATGTCTTAAATATGTTGTCAACATCCTAAGAAAGCATTTTCAACAACTCCCCCAAAATGTAACTGCTCCAGACCCCATGCACGGGGCTCAGGCCACCGCGGATGGGAGGCGGCGCCGCGACCACCATGGGAAACAAGCAGAGCAGCTTCTTCAACAAGGACATTCTCAAGCTCCATGCCTGGTTCTACGAGCTGGCCCCCAACGCGTCCCCATGGACTACAGGAAGAGCCTCATCATGCAGATGCCGGAGCTCTGGGTACGAGGGGCCGCTGGGCAGGGTGGAGGCAGAGACCCCACAACCCAGTGTCGCACCAGGGGCTGTGTAGCCCTGGGGAATTAAGAGCCTTCCTGCCTCACTCTCCCCACCTGGCTGAGGAAGTGGCTGTGTGCAGGGGTTCAGCAGGGTCCTATGGAGCAGGGCCGCCCCCGGTCTGTGGGGCTCTGGCCCAGCTTCCTGCTGCTCCCTTTGTTCGTTGGCACTAGCCACCGTGTCCACTTTGGAAGGTAAATGTTCTCTCATGGGCGTGAAGTCTCTCGGAAGCCAGCAGATCACATCTCACATGTCAACTGCACATGGATCTCCAGAGCAGCTTGTCAAAATGCTGACCCGGTTCAGCAGGCCCGAGATGGGGCCTGGGCCTTGGCTCTTCTATCAAGCTCCCCAGGCCCATGGACCAAATAGAGGAACAGGCCAAACTCACTAACATCCAGTGGATGCTGACTCATAGCGACCCTGCAGGTCAGGCTAGAACTGCTGCCCCTGTGGGTTTCCAAGATTGTAACACTTTACGGGAGTAGAAAGTCCAGTCTTTCTCCTGCGGAGTGCTGCTGGTGGTTTTGAACTGCTGACCTTGTAGTTAGCTGCCCAATACTTAACCCAGTACACCATAGGTAGGGCTCCTTATAGACCACATAGTCACATGAAATAAAAATCTCATGCCCCTGTTGTCTATTTCCAGCATAATGAAAAAAAAAAAAAAGTAACTGCTCCAAAAGTAGCCTTTGTCACACTACTAAAACAGGGTAAGATGTTGCCTTAAAGTAGAATAATCAGACAATTACAGTACTACAGTATAAGTTTTACTCTTGCACAAAAATGTGCTCACATAATAAAATATGGTAAGTTATCTAAGCTCACTAAGAAAAGGATCTAACTCTCAGTGCCAAGTGTTTGTTTTGTTTTGGTGGGAGGAGGGAGTTTCAGGTCTCTTGCAAATTCCAATCTTATCCGAAAAGCAAAGCAAGGATGCCAACCATCTGACAGGGAAAACTTATGCTAAACAAGGTTTACCTATTACACAGAAATGTAAACCTTACAAGACGATTATTTAAAAACTTCAAATAAATATCTTTTGGTTTATAAAAAACATCTGGAAGTTTCAGGAAATTTTTCTATTAAAGTGTATTTGAAGATGTGAAAGCAAAACAAAACTTAGCTACAGTAATTCTGTACTATCAAATTAGAATCCTTTAAGATACCAAAACGGGGGTTCGGGGTGGACTTACACAAATTACAAATACCTTTTTCTTTAAAGCTTTGTGTTTTTAATGTTTTTCAATATTGATATAGAAAAGCAATTTTTTACCCCACCAACTTCTAAAAATAAAACCAAATAAAGGAAAATCCCTCTAAGCCCTCGGTACCTTTGGATTCAAATCAAAAAAGCTGTAATACTTGAACCGGAGCAGCAAGGCCTCATTTTCCTTCACATCTTGTTCCATGAGAGATCTTGACGAATCAAGCCACCTGGTCAGACAAAGAAAAGCAGTGCAAGATAGTTAACAAAATCTTTCTAGTCATGTAAGTTCTTCAAACATGCCTACTTTTTTTTAACACTTACCCTTGGTTGATTTTTGCTTTATCAAGAAGAGCTTGAGGCTTGAACATCTTGGCCAAGATTTCTGGCGATGTGATTGGCTGACTGACAGCAAGTATACCAGGATTGCCTTCGGACAAAGCGCTGTCACCAAACCAAGCAGAAGTTGGTGACAAGGGGCTTCCATCGTGAGCATCGTAAGTGGGGGTCATTGTTTTACTATAGAGTCCTGGGCTTGAATAGATACTTCCTAATAAGTAACATGAAAAACAGGTAGTAAGTATGAAGTACAGAATCTGTTTTCAATGGAAATGCTCTAATGATAGAAAGCTCACTGTGAAGCATAAGCTTCAGTCTGTAAAGAAAGCTTAGTACATTATTTTATCTGTCTTAAAAATATGTGAAATTAACTTCAATTCTACTTAGATAGCCCTAGCACATGTAATAAATAGAATATAAATTAGAAAATAACTAAGTTGGTACAAATTCAGGGGTGGGGGCAAAATCAGTTCAAGAGCATTAGAAGGTAAATTAAAGATACAGAAGCAGACAGACAAACACGTTTTTGGCTTTAATTGTGGCAAGGCTCACCTTTCAGAGGGCCAATGTAAAGAACATCAGTGCCTATAGGAAAGAAAGGAATTCAGAAGGTAAAGGAGAGGCAACAATAGAGGACAGAAACAACAGGAGGAAAATGAAAAGAAGTATGGGAAAAAGAAAAAAGATGCTTCCTAACTGTGAATCATAAACTGAAGTACATGAAGTGAATTTAAGGTAAACAATCTCATGAGCTACTTTTGTCTAATCCACAAGAACCATGCTGTGCTCTGGTCTCTGGTAACCAATGTTTCCCACTCTTTTCATCCACAAACTGCGTAAGACAACTCCGTGAGCCTGAATACTGCCATGAACGAAGAGAACTGCCTGGCTTTCTCAGTGTGCAGCCAACTTGGTATCAAAAGATTTATAAGTTAAGTAATAAGATAAATGGTAGATAAAATTTGTGCTAGAACGAGGTTAACAAAGATATACTTTATAATTAAACCCCCAATACAAGGATATTCTTACTTTCAGAATCCTCAGAATTAGTGCTAGACAAATTACGCAAAATTTTGCTGAATTATTTAACTGATGGCACAGTCACCTTCATTTAATTACAACTAAATGAGATTAATTCAGAGAGTTTTTAAAAAGTGAAAAATTATGCAAAGGTACCTCCCTTAGCAGTGTTGACTATATTTCGTCCTTTAGTCATAATTACATATGCATAAATAGAACTTATTCCCTCCCTTACCCAATCGCGAAGCATGCTTAAATTAAGAACGGCTTCTTTCCCTCCCAATGCAGTAACAGAAACAACGATCTGTGGGACAGGGTAATCAACCTTAGAGAGCTGAGTAGCTGTCACAGCCTAAGCCTAGACGAGAAGGTAATGACCTCTAGCTGACCATACAGCATCTGCTTTGATGCCTCTGGCATGCGTTCTTTCACCAGGGTCACTACAATAACTTGTAGAATGAAAGCACTGGTAAATAAGCAACAAAGAATTGTGAACTCTCCTTGTTTGATATTAAGAAATCAAAATACTGAAATATTTTAAGACTTTGAAAAATATCAGCCTAGTTTCAGGTTTGTTCTTTTAAACAAGCATATTACATTTGTATGACTCCTTTGGGAAAAGGTTATTTGAATAAACAAAGTTACTAAAGGGGCTGAAAACATGTTAGATTAGCTGGGCAAAGATTCTGGATTAAATAGCGTATACATGTAAATAAGGTGTAGGAAATCATTAACTTCTATAATGCAGCATTTTCTAATTGTTTATTTCAAAGATAAAGTTTCTAAAACAATTATTTGTTTAGCATTTGTTACTATTAAAATGTGTCAATAAACATTTTTTGCACTAATTTCCCAATTCTAGCAGTATTTGCTGGGTCAGCAAGTATGTGAATTTCAAATGTATTTCAAATCTTAGTTCACTGATAATCCTGGTAGAATAGTTTACTGATTTCTGTTCAGATTTGTTTTAAATTGGGCAAACAACTAAAGTAGGGGTAAGATGAAGTAGAATGTAGACAATAATAAAAAAGATTTCTGGGCTACAGGCAAAGATAACCCAGAGATCTAAAAGGGACAAATTAGGAGTTGCTTCTTTCAGCAAAGTGGCAGGATATAAGATCAACATACAAAAATCAGTTGGATTCCTCTACACGAACAATGAGAACTCTGAAAAGAAGTCAGGAAACGAATATATTGTGGCAAGCCCTAAAGAGAAAATAACAGGGCATAAAAGACTTGCACAGAAAAATCTACACACAAAAAATCAAGACCTATATCAATGGAAATATATAACAAGGTCAAGGATAGGAAGACTCAACTTTGTAAAAATAAAAATGTCAACTGATCTACAAATACAATGTATGGTACTAGTTCAACAACAGACACATGAGACAGAATTGAAAACCCAGAAGTAAATCCATCTACTGGAAAACAGCTGATTTCCTACTAAAGGCCAAAATTAATTAAAAAAGTAAAAGATAAATGGTGCTGCCAATGATGTATATACATTTGTAGAAAAATAAGATCCATATTTTATACTGTACTGTACACAGTACTAACTAAAAATGGATCAAAGATCTAAAACCTTAAAGATTAACAAATAGGGGCCACACTAGTGGTGCTAATACATGGCATAGATAGAATACCAAACAGCAGAAGATAAAATAGGATCTCCTAAAAGTCAGTCAGCCCTGTGGTTAAAACAGACAAACTTCACCAAAGCATAAGTCTATAATAAAACTGTTATAATAAAAAATTCTCAGGCTATAGACTGGGAATAATTTTTTATTATAACATATCCAGCAAGGCCTAATGTGTAAAATTTATAGAAAAGTCAACACTTCAATAAAGACAAATGATCCGATTTAAAAATGGACAAAGGACATGTACTGTTCTGATCATAAGCCATTAAACTTAAGATCCACTGAGTTGATTTTGACTCATAGCTATCCTATACTACATCGTGTCTGCTGCAGTTTCTGATAGGTTTGAACCACTGACACTTTGTTCTTAGAAGTCCAACGCTTGCCCATCCCCCCCAACCCCCCACAGTACCAACGGGGCCCCTTAGAGGCAAATCAAAACCACAATGAGATACATTCCACTTTGGTAATAATGGCACTGATAAAAACAGAACAAAAAGACCATAGAGGTCTTGCGGAGAGTGGAACTCTTCTACAATACCAGGGCAGCAGAATGGTATAACCCCTGTGATAAATGGTGTGGTGCTGCCTTAAAAAGCCAGACATAGAAACACCATACAATTCAGCAACTCCATTCCCGAGTGTATGTTCTAAGAAAACGAGTGGGTAACACAAATCGTCCTATGAGACAGCTTCAAATTTTATGGAATTAAAAGATAATAGAACTTTTTGAATCCTTATATACACCATGTTCATTCTAACACTACTCACAGAAGAAGAACGAAGGACGCAGCCTAGGTGTCCAAACGATGGTGCACACATGTAATGGAACACTACACAGCCATCTAAACACCTGCGAATGTCTCACAACAGATGAAGCTAGAGGACATAAGTCAAGAAATATCTAATGGTTACTGGGGATGGAATGGAGGAGGGAAAAATCACTAATTAGGTAATAGACATGTATTAGGGAAGAAAAGTTACAACATGATCAAGGCAAAGGAAGATATGGGGCATGTGTAAAAGGCACCATCAGTAATAAGCCATAATCTACAAGTAGATACATAGGTATAGGATGGCATATACAAGTTTGGCAGAAGATATTCCTAAGTAGGGACTAGGGTCTTAAAAACTTGATAGTGGCCATCCAAGATATAACTACTTTTTTTGCTCTGAAGAGGAGATACCAGAGACCAATAAAGAGAAAACAAGACATAGGAACTAAAGTCTCACAACCCTGAGACCAAAAGAACTAGGTGGGTCCCTGGTTACGTTACCACTACAAACTGTTCTGACAGGGATCACACATTAGGTGGTCCTGGACAGAGTGGAGAAGAATGTACAAGAAACTTCACCACCACAACAAAGATCAGACTTATTTGTGGAACCTGTGTGGGCTATAAGAGTAGAGGGCAAAAACTGGATGACCAGAAAGGGGAATTCAGGGAGGAAATGCAGGAAATGCAGAGTGGGGAGTTGTCGCTGTGAACCAGTATCATGGATTAAATTAGTTTATGAATCATCGCATAGGTTCTAAAACAAAAAAATTACGCAGCACCCAGAGCCCCTATAAAGATTTAGTCCTAGGAACCATCCTCTTTCCTACAGAGACTCTGAGTCAGACCGCCTCAAGGGCAGTGGGTTAGCGCCCGGAAATGACCCCTGGTGGGTGTTAATGACAGCCGGCCATCTGTTTACTAACTATAAAGAAGACCCGGGCGGGGCGGGCGCTTCACTTCGTCAAAGCCTTACCTGATCCAGGAGTGATAAGGGGGCCCTCTAATTCAAGTGCCTCATCTTCAGACTGGTCATCGAGCTTTTTCTTTTTTTTCTTTGTTGGATCTCTGGGTTTTTTCAAGAGAGAGAGCTCTTCTGGATGTCTGATATCTGGTAAGATTTTTAAAAGCTTACTTTATTAGAACATAGGAAAAGTAAACACTTTATATACTTGGTAAATCTAACAGTCTACTTCAAGATAATCTAGAATTTCCTTGGGTTTATCCTTAGGTTTTTTTTATAAGACACTGATGCCATAAAACGACAATGGCTGGTACAAGGGAAAGAAATCTATTAAACTACTCTAGTTTATGTATAGTTTTACACACACACACACACACACACACACACACACACACACGAAAAATAATAGTTTTACATGAGACCAGAGTGATTGAAATTCAAAAGACGATAATACCAAGTATTTGCAAAGACATGGAGAACAAATGCTCTCATCTCCAGCTGGTAGGAGTGTAAAGTGGCAATAAAGAAACAAACAAAAAGACCCAAACCCAAGCTGCACAGTTTCTTAAAAAGTTAAACATATATCTACCATATTAACCAGATATTTATTACTAAGTATTTATAAGATGTTTATAATCCTTTTACTAGAAAAGCCAACACCACAAACAACCCAAATATATAAATAAAATGTTATATTTTCTTTTCCCCCCAAAATGTTAAATCTTCATAGCAACGGAACACTGGTCATACAATGGAACACTGTTGTTAGTTGCCATCAATACCAAGTCATGGTAACAACTGGTTAACAAACATGGGTATAACAGAACAAAACACTGTCTGGTCCTATGCTATCTTCTCGCATTAAACCATTATCTTGCTGTGATCCCCAATGTATTTATTGGCTATGTTTTTAGAATTAGATCACCAGGCTACTGCTGCTTGTTTCATTCGATACTACTGAAACTCTAGACAAGAGACTGAACACTGCTCATTCAGCCTTATGCTCACAATCCGCGCTGTGTTTGAGCTCATTCTTGCTGCTGGTGGAAACCCATCTCAGTGAGGGCCCTTCTTTCTCACGGACCGCCCACCAAGCATGGTGCTTCTTCAGGGGCTGGTTCCTCCTGAGAACACGTTCACATTGCATGAGACCTCAGTTTCACCATGTTCCCTTCTAAGGAAACTTTCCCTTCTATGGTTTTCCCAAGACAGGTTAGTTCATTCTTCTGGCAATTCATGAGAGTCAATGTTCTTTTCAGTGCTGAAACGCAGATGGATCAATTCCCCTGAGGTCTTTCTCATTCACCGTGTAGCTTTCTCACGCACACGAGGAGAATAAAGACCATGGCTTGGGTCAGTGGGCAGCAATGCAATGGATTTCTTTGTTGTTGCTTCCATGGGTGATTGTGGATCCAAGTAAAATAAAACCTTGTTGACTTCAATCTTCCCCCATTTATCATAATGTTGCCGACTGCTCCAGTTGTGAGCACTCTTGTTTTGTGTTGGGTTTGGAATCCATAATGAAGCTTGTACTCTTTGATATTCATGATGAAGTGCTTCAAGTCCTCCTGGCTTTCAGTAGGCAAGGTTATGTTTTCTGAATATCTCAGTTTGTGAATGAGTCTTCCTCCAGTACTGATGCCAACTATTTCTTCCTATAATTCAGTATCTTGCATTATTAGCTCAGCATGCAAACTGAATAAGTGACACACACTTTTCCTGATTTAAGCCACAAAGTATCCTTCTTGCTGTTTGAACAACTCCCTCTTAATCTTCATACAGGCAAGGAGGTTCCTCATGAGCACAAGCAGTAAGTGTTCTGGAATTCTCATTCTTAATGTCCATAGTCAAATACCTTTGTATGGTCAACAAAACGAAAGTAACTATCTTTCTGAGAGTCTGTGCTTTCTCAAGATCCATTTAACACAAGCAATGATAAAACCATTATTCTGGTGTCTTAAGTCTGAGAGCTCTGTTGAAACCTGGGTAGCTCTGCAGGCAGTTTCCAGCATCACAGAAACACACAAGCCACCATAATATGACAAGACTGATAGTTAGATGGTGGAACAGAATACCATTCATCAGTAAAAAGAAACAAATTACTGATACATGCAGTAATAGGCTGAATCTCATAATTATTACACTAAAAGAAGCCCTAAGAGTATATACTACGAACCATGCATATAAAATTACAGAAAATGTTCCACCTATAGAGACAAAAAAGCAGGCCAATGGTTATTGTTCAAAGGGTGATGAAAGTAAATATTTAATATCCCGGTTGAAGTTATTTTCACAGGTTTAAACACTTGTTAGAACTTACCAAACTGCACTTTAAGAGGGTACAACTTAAGAATCATAAATTACATCACAGTAAAGTTGATTAAACAACAGCATGGAGGGAAAGAGGTTCAAGGAAAAGGCGCAGAAACCGTGTGCACACCACCATGCTGACAGCACTACACTGTTTATCACAGTATGAACAAAATGCAAATCACTGCTAAATGACTAGAACAAAATTTGACTTGTGGCAATTTGTGCCTTCAAAAGTCCACACTAACTACTAGACTCAAGTCAGTGATGTAACTTAAAGTTAAAATAACTGTAGGGGCCTGAAACTAGGGTCAACCCTCATTTAGTGCTGGGAGCTGATGTGGTTTAATTAAAGGAAGTGGAGAAGACAGCCATCTGGATTCAAGTCCCAGCTCCACTACTAGCTAGCTGGGTTAAACTTAGGGCTACTTATTCAGCCTATCTGCAGATTAGTAACCAGGCATAACACAAGTGTTAAAATGTAAGTTTTGGGTAGTAATTTTTTTTAATAAAAAAATACATTATCATGGTAGAAATTGAAAAATTAGCACAGTCTTTCTAAAGTCTGTTTTTATAAAGTAAAATATAACTATGGAAATAAGTGATCACTTTAGTAACTGAATAATATACACCATACAAAAATAATTTAACCATTCTTGTATATGAAAGAATAAAGACACTAACTTATTTATTTTCTCATTAAACTTTGTTTTCATGGGTCTCAAAATTCTGTGACAGATTTTTGGTCAAGTTGTTTTTCATTTATAAAGTACTGATTTTAAAAACTAGTAACTTAAAACTGCCACCCCCCAAAAAGAAACAGATGGCCCACATTCTTTTCCTTCTGAAAGTTTTACGATACATTGTCGTCATCAACCCGTCTTTTACTGTCCAGCTCTGATGGCCACTAGAGACAAGTGGGTCTGAGACTGTTCTTCCACCCCTGCTTAAGAGTGGCAGGTGTGATGAGTAATATTCATTTAGCCTTCTGGGCAGACTTGGTGACCTTGCCAGCTCCAGCACCCTTTTTGTCCACCGCCTTGATGACACCACCCACAGCAACTGTTTGTCTCATGTCTCAGACAGCAAAACGACCCGTAGGAGTATAGCCAGAGAAGCTCTCCACACACATGGGCTTGTCAGGTACCAGGTCAACAACGGAAGCATCACCAGACTGCAAGAATTTGGGGCCATCTTCCAGCTTCTTGCCAGAACAGTGATCACTCTTCTCTTTCAGCTCAGCAAACTTGCAAGCAATACGGGCAGCATGACAATCCAGCACAGGTCTGGCCTGGACGGTTCAGGATGATCACCCAAGCAGTGAAGCCAGCTGCTTCCATTGGTGGGTCATTTTTGCTGTCACCAGCCACATCGCCACGGCGAACACCTTTGACAGAGACGTTCTTGACATGGAAGCCTACATCGTCCCCAGGCAGAGCGTCACTCAAAGCTTCATGGTGCATTTCAACAGACTTCACTTCAGTGGTAACGTTGACCGGAGCAAAGGTGACCACCATACCAGGTTTCAGAACCCCAGTTCCACTCTGCTCACAGGGACTGTGCCGAGACCACCTATCTTGTAGAGGTCCTGGAGAGGCAGGCGCAGGGGCTTGTCAGTTGGGTGGGTTGGTGGCAGGATGCAATCCAGAGCTTCAAGCAGTGTAGTTCCCCTGGCATTGGCATTCTTAATGGGTAACCTTCCACCCCTTGAACCAAGGCATATTAGCACTTGGTTCCAGCATGTTGTCACCATGCCAACCAGAAATTGGCACAAATGCTACTGTGTCAGGGTTGTAGCCAATTTTCTTAATGCAGGTGCTGACTACTTGTCAATTTCCTCCTATCTCGTGGCTCTAGGGTGGCTCTGTGGAATCCATTTTGTTAGCACCAACAACGAGCTGTTTCACACCCAGTGTGTAAGCCAGAAGGGCATGCTCACGGGTCTGCCCATTCTTGGAGAGACCAGCTTCAAACTCACACACCCCAGCCGCAACCATGAGGACAACACAATCAATCTGTGATGTCCCTGTGATCATGTTTTTAACAAAGTCTCTGTGTCCGGGCATCCATGATAGTCACATAGTACTTGCTGGTCTCAAGTTTTCACAGGGAGACAGCAATGGGGAAGCCAGGCTCACGCAACTTTCAGCGATTCCAAGACCCAGGCAGACCTGAAGGAGCCTTCCCCATCTCAGAGCTTCCTTCTCGAATTTTCCGATGGCTCTTTTGTCGACCACACCCCATTTGTAGATCAGGTGGCCAGTTGTGGTGGACTTGCCAGCACTGACGTGTCCAATGCTGATGACGTTGATATGGGTCTTTGTTCCCATTTTGGCTTAGTTTTTGTGACGGTTTTTACTGACACCTATATTCTGGCGGCAAACCCGCTGCAAAAAAGTGAAGTTAACTTATTTATCAACAACAGTAAGTAACTTGAAGGATTTGACACCAAAGCACTATTATAATTATGTAGATTGAGAAACCAGGAAAGAAAAAAACAACAACAAATTTTTGAGTCATATATATAATTAATAGAACTGAATTATTCCCTAGACTATATTATTTAATCTGCTAAGTGAATTCATTATTAATTAGTTCCACAGTCTGTTCTCGGTGTCACTTCAGTGTTAAATGTCACAGAGCTGCACTTGAGAGACTAGTAAACCATGAGAAAACCCTGTGAAAAGTATCTACTGCCTCAGCCCCGACTCCACCAGAATGGAGCTGGTGATCTCTCTTCACCCATTCACCCCCCCAAAGTGGCGGTTCTCAGCCTATGGGTCGTGACCCCTTTGGGGGGGGGTCCAACGACCCTTTCACAGGAGTCGCCTCAGACC